GGTCAGTAGAGGAGTATGAACGAGAGTTCACCCACCTGTCCCGTTTCGCCCCAATAATGGTCTTAACAGAAGAGTTGAAAGTAGAATGTTTTGCTATGGGTTTGCGTCCCAATGTCCGAGGGGCGGTGTCAGCTCACCTTCCACCTGACTATGCAATAACGCTCCGACTTGTCGAGACGCTCGATGATAGGGAATATCCGACAAAAGACACCCAAACCGACTTAAACACGATGGTTGACCAGAAGAGAAAGAGAGAACAAACGTCACCTACCTCCTCAAAGGTACCTTGGCACCAGGCCAAGAAAAATTTAAACCAAGAGTGCAGGCAACCAAAGGCTCGCCCACAGAACACGCCACGTGATAGACCATGTTGCACGAACTATGGGAGACGTGACCCAGGATAGTGCAGGTTTAGAATAGGGTATGCTTCAACTGTCACCAAGAAGGCCACGTTGTCGTGCATTGCACCCAAGAGAGAGCAACTAGTACCAATAGACCCCCTGGTAACCAACCAACCTCAAACCCGAGGCCAGCTTCGCAACAGGGGCAAATGTATGCTACCACTCGCCAGGAGGCTAAAAACTCCAACACGGCAGTCACAGGTACACTCTCTATTCTTGGGTACTACGTATGGGTCTTATTTGATTCTGGGACAACCCACTCTTTTATCTCCACTAACCTTGTAAAACACGCAAGAGTAGAAGTTGAACCGCTAGGGTATGGGTTGTCTGTGGGTACCCCGGTAGGGGTAAGTATGGAAGCCTTTGAGAGGGTAAAGGACTGTCAGTTATGTGTGTCAAACCACACGATGGATATGACGCTGATAGTCTTAGATATGACCAATTTTGACATCATCTTAGGGATGGAGTGGTTAGCTAAAAACCATGCATCCATTGATTGCTTCAACAAGGAGGTTGTGTTCAGACCTCCTGGTCAGCCAAGCTTCAAATTTAACGGGACCAGGGTAAGAATGGTCTCAAGGATAGTCTCGGCATTAAAGGCAAGGAAGATGTTATCCCAGGGTGCTTAGGGGATATTAGCTCATGTGGTGGAATTAGGGCAAACCGAGGCGAGCATTAACTCAATGCCAGTAGTGAGAGAATTCGTCGACGTGTTCAAGAAGATCTCCCAAGCCTACCCCCGGAGTGTGAGGTGGAATTCGAAATTGTACTTGAGCCAGGAACAACCCCTATATCAAGAGCCCCGTACAGAATGGCCCCTGCTGAACTGAAAGAACTAAAGTTGCAGCTTCAAGAGCTAATAAACAAAAGCTTTATACGACCAAGTCTGTCTCCTTGGGGAGCCCCAGTGATATTTGTGAAGAAGAAGAACGGCTCTATGCACTTATGTATGGACTACCGGGAACTTAACAAAGTGACAATTAATAACAAGTATCCTTTACCCCGGATCGACGACCTGTTCGATCAGTTGCAAGGAGCAGTTGTGTTCTCAAAGGTTGACTTACGGTCAAGCTACCATCAGTTGAGGATTAAGGAGAGTGATATCTCAAAGACAGCCTTTCGCACAAGGTATGGACATTACGAGTTTAGGGTAATGTCGTTTGGCTTGACCAACGCTCCAGAAGCATTTATGGAGTTGATGAACAAAGTGTTCAGAAAATTCTTAGACAACTTCGTGATCGTCTTCATCGATGATATCCTTGTGTATTCCAAGACTAGGGAACAACACGAGGAACATCTCAGGAAGGTGTTGACCACTCTAAGAACGAACAAGTTGTTTGCAAAGTTCTGCAAGTGTGAATTCTGAGCAGAACAGGTGGGATTTCTTGAGCATGTAGTTTCACGAATGGGAATCATCATAGACCTAGCAAAGATTGAAGCAGTGATGAATTGGCCTCGCCCAACCACAGTGACTGAGGTACGAAGTTTTCTTGGTCTACAGGGTATTATCGGCAGTTTGTGCAGGATTTCTCCAAGATCGCCACCTCCCCCCCCCCCCCC